TTACATTTGCCTTTATTCTCAGCATCAGATTACCAGCATATTTCCTCCACTGTAGAAAGCAGATGGTTATTGTACTGTATTTTGTACTCAGTCGTTCCTTGAATTCGGTTGTATTTATTAGCGTCGATTACTAACTCAAACGGAAGACACGTCGAGTCTTTTGCTAGAGAATTGCACAGATGAACACATGAGATCCGTGTATGAATGCAGTAAATGGGTAAGAGTGTGTGGGAGATGTGGTGCAGGACCAAAAATGCCAACGTGAAGCTCTTCTTCCTAAAAAGCAGCTGAAGACCATCGGCTGTTTCGGTGTGACTGCTCTGACTCGGCTGCTGATTGCTTTCGTTAAGCTGGCGTAATTCCGATCACAGGCTGCCGGGAATGCAGAAACAGTTCATTCCAGTGCTGGGCCACATTATTTTAATCTCGAGTGCCCCCTCTGTGGGCAGGTTTATTGTTGATGTGCATCATGTAAATGTGTTTGTCTGAAGAGGGAGCTAATGAGTTTCAGCAAACTTTAACCTGCCCGTCTTTAAAATTAGTCAGCTTCTGATGTCTCGAAACTTTTTGCACATTTCCTTTGCTGTCACAAAAGGCTGATTATTTCATGTCAAATTCCAGTTGTTGTTTTTTTGTTTGTTTGTTTTGTTTTCAGCTTCATTTGTCTGCTTGTGACAGCAGAGACAGTCGAGTTAATGCACTTGCAGTTACCCTTCTTGTCAGCAGAGGTCCTTATTATCAAAGATTTGCCCTTGAAGATTTCTGTCCCTGTTTAAACCTGCACTGGTTTACCTGGTGGTTTACCTGATGGGCTCCTGTTTTTTTTTGTTTTGTTTTTAATGGCTGAAAGAAAATGCTCCTGAACAATGTAAAATTACCAAGATTTTGCCTTGATTACCTGTAACACGGTCTGATTTAGATCCAAGTTGCAGTTATAATCTGAATGTGTTTCAACTGGACAAATGCAGAGTAAAAGTAAGAAAAGTCTTCGTAGCTGCTTATGAGACTGAAGCAGATGATTTTTACATTTTTCCTTCTACATAACTCTTTAAGACCATCAGCAGCTCTTACCCTGTGGTTATCAGAATTTTTGTTACAATTTAGTCGTTGTAAGTTGCAACACGCATAAAAATGATGTATTTTCCACCTATAACGTGCCTTTTTCTCTCTCCAGATACTACAGAATTAGAGTTAGACCTAACCCCAGCTGTGTGGTGAAAAATCTTGGTAATTTAATTAAAGCTTGTTTTTCTAAAACCAAATATTCTTGAGAGAATGTGTGTGTATATACGCGAGAGTGTTTGTAGTGAGAGATCTGGTTGACATTTCACAGATTTCTTCCAAAAGAGTTGTGCTCTGTATTGACACGTGAAAGTTCCTGTTGCTGCCTCGCTTGCACGCATCAATCCATATTAAATGCATTATGAAACTGATGACCTACCTCTTCCTTTCTAAGGAGTAAATCTTGAACGTAAGAGCAGAAACCTGTGACATTCAGGCAGATGTTATAACATCTGGTTCACTTGTCTCACATAATAAAAATGACAGTTGAGTTTTTGGGTTTACTCGTTTTATTGTTGCTGGGGTCTTTATTTGCTTTGGTATCCGATGTTGATGTAGTTTTAATGTGAACAGGAATGTGGCCTTGCTGCCTCAGCTGCTTATCCACCTGACTTTGGCCTCAGGGCGCTGATTGTTGGTCTCCAGTGTTATCAATATGCTCAGGATCATTTGACCACCTTGACCCCCCAACAGCAACATCTGTTCTCAGTACAAATAACCAGCAACACTCCCATCTCCGGCCCTCTTTTCCTGCATTATTCCCATTTTGCCTATTAGTCTCCCTCCTCTTTCCTCTCCTGAGATGAAGAATCGTTGTTACCCGTGGTTGGAGCTTTCCAGGAAGTTTAGTGATGTACAAATCACTACATTCTATGTTCTCCTCTTTTTTTTCTTCTGTTTTATTCAGCCCACTCAGCAGTCCTCTCTTTATATACCGTCTTGGTGGGAGAGACTTGCATGGTCTCTGTTTAGATACGAACCCTTGGACCCCTCCTGCTGCAGAGACTCGCTTACAGAAATTTAAGGAAGAACAGCTGCATTTCGAAACTTTGAACACCTCTTACAATCAAAAGCGGCGATGCTGGATGTGTTCCCCACTGAGGATTTTGTTGTGCCCGGGGGTGTTTGTGTGTGATTGTGATGGTTTGAGGAGTGTTCACAGAAAGGGAATGTGAGGAAGTGTGGGATGGGGTAGGAGAGCGCAGTGTGGGGACTTGCGGTTTACCTAACCCCAGCATTAGTGGCATGACCGCAGTAACCACCTCCAGATGTTTGGGAGCACAATCTGACTGATTATTTACAGTGAACATCGCCCTCTTCACACTGCAATGTGTACTCTTTGCTCCTTTGGCAGTGTCAAAGTTAATGCTTAATCCAAGTACAGACCCTTAATTGCTAAGGCCAAGCCCTGTTTATTGGAGGGAGGTTACATGCCTGTGAACAGATCAGACAGCACAGACCAGAGGCAGACTCACTCAGGGAATCATCTCTACCGGGCAAGCAGCAGGACGGACCAAAAGAAGCAGCTACAATGCCACTGAAGTTTGGAACGTCCAAGGCTATCGCCATCGCCTTTGGCGTTCTGACCGTCTCTTCCATCGGAGGCATGTTCACCATGATTATTCTGTTCAAGGCTCAGACCCAAAACATTACCATGACGCCACCTCCAACCCCGTCGCCCACCACCTTGGCCCCACCGCCAAACATGCGGCTGCCGAAGAGCTTGGTACCTCAGAAGTACGAAATTTCACTCGCAGTTCACCTCTACACTAAAATCATAGAGGAGGGGAATGGCTCCAATCCCAACATCACCACTCCGAACCAGACCATGATCTTCACGGGAAACTCGACTGTCCACTTTCAATGTGCCCAAAGGACGATGAGCATCTTTCTCAACAGCAGGAACCTGAACGTGTCCTCGCCGGTGGTGTTGAACGAAAATACAAAAAGGAATATTAAAGTGTCTGGATTGCAACACTACGATGATGAAAGTGACTTCCTCAAGATCGAATTGATGGACGCCTTGGAGGCAGAAGGGAACTACTCTTTGTTTTTGTCTTTCCACGGCGAAGTCTCGGATAATCTGGAAGCACTGTATCTAAGCAGATATACTGATGGTGTCTTTGACTATGAAAGTGTAGATGATCCAAATGCGGACAGGTACGTAAAAAAGCTCTGCGTATAGAATATATATCAATACATTTAATTATTTGTTGAATTTGGAGTTTCTAAAACAATTTCAGAGCTTTTCATTACTGCAACTTTAAAGTTTATGGTATTCCGTACAATAATCGGCATTTAGAGCTTAGAGGGTTTCTGAGAAAGTGAAAGAAATGTGGTCGCGTTTATTCCAGTTGGAAAAATAATCTATATTAAAAAAATTTTTTTTATCTGAAATCTATGAAAGTTATGTAAGTATTCTGTATTCAATGCTAATTTTAGGACTTCAAGATTCCAATTTTTTCTGGAGTGAAAAATAAATACAAAATTTAAATTTAAGTGGTTTTTTTATAAGAAAACTATTAAGGGAAAAATATTTGGAAAGGTTTCAAGGAAAATGACATAAAGGCTGGATGCTAAATACAAACTGAAAAGAGTCAAAGTTATATTAAGAAAAATATAAATAATTTCTTAAATCGTTATTTCAAGAAGATGCAACTCCAAATATTAAATGATTAAATACGTAAATATATAAGCCTTATTTTAGCCTATCTATACAAGCTTACAAACTTTATCACTCAGCCATAATAACAGTAATAATTCATAATAAGCATTAATAATATTCCATCAGGTTACAGAGATGTTCAAGTTTCCACAGTGAATTAATTTCTCAACTTGAGTGTTTTTTAAAAACAGTGAGTCTATAATCATCTGGCTGACTAAACACAGTGATAGCTCAAACACAAAGTCATTTTCTAACATAACAATGATGCATCCCACATTTTTTCAAATCACTGTTTATTTTCCACTCGGGTGCAGTTCTTTGTGTCCGTTTTAATCTGACATGTATAACAATAACCCAAACTGACTGTTCATCGTAACCTTATCCTAGATGTTGCACAAACCCATAACAAATAACTCATAATGGAACTTTGGCATTAAAGTTACAAAAACTGCGGCCAGGACATTTTTGTCTTTTGATAAAACTGAGTTGGCTCAACTGATTTAAACA